TTCTTAACAATTCTAACATATTATATGGATGCGGTCATTATTTGATTAATTTTATATACTTTGAAGATTGTCATCATAAATAATAATTTAACAAATTGTAATTTTTGTTACATGAAAGCAGATTTGCACTTGCTACTCTATATCCATTAAGAATCTTCTCATAAAGCATCTCACTAAATTACCTTTTAAGTTCTATCATATTATCCTAATGCAATTATCATTTCATTAATTTTATACATTTTAAAATATAGATCATAAATAGAAATATATCAAAATTTTCTGTTTTTGCAAGAAATCGCTTATATCCTGCTCCATAGGCACCAAGAACACCTTCCGTTTCTTTAGAATTGTTATATCTAACTAAATTTAAAAAGCATAATCACTAACTACACTTCTGGGCCCACATAATGATTAACTTATTAGCAATTAATCAATTACTATAATATTCTCCTCAACAATTTTATTCTTTAGCAATCTACAACTACCATTCTTAAACCATTACAATTGTTAGCCTCCAAAAAACAGTAACTGACGACTCCACCTCCGTCTTAACATCCCATTAAGTTTCTTACAAATATGTAGAGTATTTATTTCCCTTCTAATCATTGTGCCCACAAATTCTCTAACCTTAGAATTTACATTATTTAAAATCTGTGTAATAAATCTTAGCTCTGGATCTAGTCAGCATTTAATTCTCACCGTAATTAGAATAAGAGGAGTGTGTAGCTTGTGGAAGATCAAGCCTTGTCTACTCATTCATGCCCACATCTTATCAAAATCAGTTTCCATCTAAGCACGATATGAGGAACACCTTAACACTAGCAAATAGTTAGAATGTATTTTATAGATTTAAAACATTAGGCTATAAGATTGGTTATCAAGTTAACATTAAACCTAACAATCATACCCAGGATTGGGTCCAACAGTGATAGTGGACCATAAATCTACCAATTAAGGAATTAATCTTATCCATACATGTGGCTCTTAAAAAGACCACAATTACCTAGCATGGTCGATTCGATGTAGCCAAACAGGTTGTACTTGCATAGGCAATTACTTGACGCCTAGTTGACCATACAAGCAATGTTCTGCTCAGTTCAAGTGCTAACCAAATGACTCAATGGTGTCATTCTTCAACTCCATGACAATCGAGTAGACCAAAAAGCCATCAGAGAGAGTCATAACCCCGCACCTTACCCCCACCCACAAAAAAAAAAAAACAAAAAAAGATGAAACGTAGAAATAGAAAGTGGCCACAATGATTGGCTAAGGAGAACCCAGAAAGAAAGTTGCACCTCCACGAATCCCCAGTTAATGCATGCCCAATTGGCAATGATATCTTTCAATTATTCAATATGGTTACAAGTTCTTGAAGTAGAATTCAACAGGTATCCTAAAAAATTGAATATAAGTCTCATCATGAGTAAAAAAACCTTTGACATGTAAAGGAATTTTCACAAAGTGCTTTCTTCTAAATAGAATAGATGAAAATGCAATTAAGCAGTTTTGGGTCCTTCGAATCTTTGAGAGAGCCTTTTCATCAATATGCAATTTGGTGGCCCCTTTCTAATGTAGAGAGAGATAAAAGAGAAGCAAACCTTTCAATCTCTTCTGACACCAATATCACTATATCACCTCAAACTATCAATCCCATCAATTATTTATCTAAATGAAGAGTTTCACTATGTGTTATACACAAAACCGGCGGATGCCTAAAAAGTGCATAAAAAAATAAAACAAATGTCATATATATATATATATATATAGTTCTAAAACTTCATTTACCAACAGTAGGCCCTACTCCCTATCTATTAAAGTCCCCACTCATGACTAATTATGTGCAGTTCATTTTTATTAGGAGTGTAGATGTTGTTATATCTTTTTTCTTTTTAAGAGAAACTATGTTCGTCACCCATATTAGCTGCAGCTCACCCCTCTTTTTAAGAGAAACTATGTTCACCACACATATTAGCTGCAGCTCACCTCTCTTCATCCTAGCCCTCATATTATTACAGCATGTGTTACTAATATTTATTTTAAGCCTATGTTCCGTATATATTACTAATATTTATCTTTAAGCCTGCATATTTCATATGGGTTGCCACTGCTGCCTCATTAAGCATACTAGTTAATCATCCTCAGCCTAAAATATCAATAAAATGTGAAAGTATTTCACATGAAAACCTGAATAACAATAAAAATATAATTATTTGGTGACTTGAAATGTTTGAGTGATATGAACACCAGACTAATAGAAGCTCTCAATTAGATTTATTTTACTTCAACCACGGAATGATTTAAATCATGAAATAGTTTATTTTATCATGAAATAGCTAAGAATAACTCAAATTGCACCATGAGCCTAAAGCATTAACTGAAGATTTCAATAAATTTATTTCATTTATACCAAACTCGAGGAAATATAGAATAAATTAAAATTCATGAAGAAGATGCTTTTTGAAGCATCAAGAATAACTCAAATTCCAATATTTGCTAACCAAGAGGCTACTGGGGATTTGTGTTGAACTTTAAAGCAGCGTGACGCCGGGTCAAACAAGCCATCGTGTTTGTGCTTTCATTTAAACAGTCTTATGTTGAGTCAAACAAAGCATCATTATAACGTTTTTTACATATTCCCTTTCTTTTTAACATCTTTATTTTCCGCAATCCAAAACAAATATACCACATTTCAAATTGCATGGCCTAACAGCACTGATTGCAAACCAATCAATAATAACACGAAAGTAACACAATGCAAAAATAAAAACCTCCATAAAAACCCTACAAATATAAGCTTTTGCAAAACTATCCATCCATCTTTCTCTTTTCACTATAGAAAAATGTTGCAATAACTAAAGTACACCATACAGTTTCACAACTTCAGAAAAACACTTATGGCAATAGCATTGGGGCTTATTGCTGCTACTAGGCTGCAATTACAAGTTTCACAATGGGTGGTGAATGCATGTACTATTTAAGCTAGAGGAAACCACAAGAATTTGGCTTTCCACATTTACCCTTTTAGGGCCAATTTGGTTGAGTGAATTAGTCGTGTAATGTAACTCTTTTGCCGGGATTTGACAAAATTATGCGTTTGATATGAAGAATTATAGATACAGTATAACGTATGAATAAATTCAAAGTTTACACAACATTTGATTTTTGGCCGAATTTATAATTCGGCCGATTTTTCCGAATTTGAATTACGCTATTCATGTAATATGATATATGCAAACTGCCGCCACCTAGTTACCGCCGTTGTCGCGGCCCGCCCGCCCACACGCTAGCCACCAGCCGCCGCCAAATAAATAATATTTTGAAATACATTATTTTCAATCTAGTTAAAATCAAATAAAAAAATATAAATCGTGTTTATTTTTCAGTGAACCAAACAACTTCAAAATATTTCAAATACATTATAATCATAATCATAATACTCTGTAAACATTTTACATTGCATTTAATTCTCAGCAAACCAAGTGGCCCCTTAATTTTACTTTATACCAAATTCATTTCAATGTTTCAGTTACTATTAAAATGACATTTCCATCGTAGGCTGTCATTTTCTTCAAGCACCGGCTAACAACTTAAGTGTAAAATAAATACTATTTAAGCTTTGGTAGGATTTCTTTACAATTACTTGGAAACCACTTAGGATCACTTTCACTTTTTGTTTTCCATTTTTATTTTGTTTAATTTATGATTTGAGAAAAAAAAACATGTTTGATATTTTTTATTAAGATATAGTTGTTCTGAGCATTATTAGCTATATTAATTTATGGCGTATTTTTTATTAAGATATAGTTGTTTTTATTAAGATTATTTTGAGTGTTTTCAAAAACACGTTTATTTATTTTTAAAAATAAAAAATATATATATTAAAAGCACATCAAATAAATATATTTTTAAGAACAAAGTAAAAAACAAAAACAAAAAACAAAAAAAAGGTTCCAAAACAAGCCCTTAGTAATACAAACAAAAAAGATAATTTAGAATGCGCATAATTAAATTCCTATAGACGATGAAATTGTCGTGTTTATGTTTCTTAGACTCTAGCTTATTTTTTTTATTATGTAAAAGTAATATGTTAATTAAATTATATTTAATTGTTTTAATAATCTTATTGCTAGCCAAAAATAATTTAAAACTACAAATAATCATATAAGCATGAACTCAAAATATATGAATAATAAATTCATTGGGAAGCTTATTTGCAAGTTTTTCACTCCAATAATGCACAAAGAGCAGACATCCTGACCAAAGGTAGGCCTAGTATTGAGTTCCTAGTAAGCAAGTTTGGCATGATAGCCATCTATGTTCCAACTTAAGGGGGCTGTTAGAATTTAGGAAGTGTTTGTTTTAATATATTATATTATTAGGTTTTTTTTTTCTATTTCTAGAATCTAACATTATTGGTATGTCATAATTCATGTTTCTTTCTTTTATCATGGGGGGAGTTATGGTTGATTTTATTATATTCGTAATGTGGGAGTATCCTCTGCTATTTATATTGTAATCGTTTTCTATGAAATCGAAAAGGAATACCAATTTATGTGCTGCTAAAAATTACATTTATCAAAATAGTTAATCATAAAATATAGCTAATAATGCTCAGTTTTCTACTAACATTATAGTACAAAAGACAAAAATCTAACCATTCAAAGAATGTTTATCTTAGAATCTGCCTCTGTAGTATGATTTTTATTCCAATTAGTGCATTGTGTTGCAGCAAAATTTTTACAAAATACTTGAGCATAGACATATTTCAAATAGCATATAATTAGAAATCAAAATTTTTTTAATCATTATTTTATTTAAATTCAATCAATTTAAATTTAATATCGCATATTATGTCTTTTTATACAATAATATTTCCAAGCAAAAGCAAAAGACACGGGTATATGTTAACATGGACAATTTTGAAGCCTTAATGTCATTTAATAATATTAAGCATCGAAAGGGAACTCAAGTACATAATACCAACATATCTGCCAACTCACCAGCCCCCGATATTCCCTTTTTGTGGCAACTAGCGGAAGTTCAGCGACTCCACGTCCCAAGACACGTAGCAGCCCAGTAGATATAACTGATGAGCTGCAATCGTGTAACAAGATTCAGAAATTAAGTTAACAAACAAAAACAATAATAATAATAATCAGCTGTAACAATCTGTGTTCCAAAATCCTTACTTCAATGTCAAAGCCATACAATACATCCCCCCAAAATCTTGGTCCCTCATATTCCTACTGTGGAACATTAAAGAAAATATAAATTCAAGTTCAGAACAGTAAACCAATCTGAGTGAAAAAAATGTGCCAAACAAATAAGATTTAGGGTCATACCCATAAACCATGAAAGGAATAAGGTCGCGACCAGAAATGGGTTCAACTATAGGATCAAATGATTCCTGTATAAAAATGATGCTGAGTTGCTATAATGAAATTCCAGAGAGAAAAAAAAGAAATGTATAAAAGATAAAAGAACAATTAAAATAGCCTTGTCGTGGTAATTTAACTTCTTAAAGCAACATATCTAACAGACAGATAAACACCATAATCACATTCATCAATGCAGATATCCCCAAACATCCAAGATTGGGCAAATTACAAATAAATCACACCGGTGACTCTTCCATGAACCTCTATCACGATTCCTCAACAAGCTTTCATTGTGATTCCCCTTGCAAGCTCCCAAAGCACTACTCAAGGAAGCATTCATCATGATTGATCCTTCCCCCACAAACCTCAACAAGCTCCCTTTGAGATTTCCCCACAAGGTTTTATCTCAATTCTTATGTCATAATTTAACAATGAAGACAAGCTCCCATCACGATTTCTCCATTGCAAGCTCCAGCAGTAGAACACCCTCCCATCACGATTCTCCCACAAGCTTCCATAACCATCCCATCTGATGATGTTGCAATGTTGCACATGAGCCATTGGTTGGGCTCATGAGCCATAATCACATTCATCAATGAAAATATCCACAATGTATAAAACAGCAAACATCCAAGATTGGGCAAAATCCAAACAAATCGCAGTGGTGAAGCCTCGCTTAGTGCAAACTTGGTGCTCTATAATACATAACATTAATTACATCAATATTTCTTTGATAAAAAAAAAACTTTTAACTTAATATACCAAATTAATTAATGTAGTGCTCAATCATATTTCTTAAAAAATTCAATAAAAATCATATTAAATCTTTAATTTGCTAATTATATTTTTCTACCAGTTATCGTAGTAAAAAAATCGCTTCCACATTAAGATCTTTTTAACATTATATCAAATAAATTTCCCAAAATTATCAGATAATATATTACTAAAAAATATGTCTTATCAAAATCAATAAAAGCTATATGCAGATTTTTTCTTTATTCTGTACTTTTCTATTAATTATATTAATATATATAAAAAAAACATCCATAATATATCTTTCTACCGTGAAATCAAATTGATTCTCCAAAATTAATATAACTTTATGAGTCAATGATCCATCACTCTCTATTAGAACTTTATTGCATAACTCATATGTTTGATTCTTAAATAGTTAGCACAATCTTAAATATATCAAATGTTCTTAAATATTAAATTTAAAATATTACTTTTATCATGATTTAGTCTTCAAATTCCATTGAAAATTTGTTAACAAACCTCCTTAAAATACCCAAAACTCTTCAAACCTCAATAGATCTATCATCTAAACCTAAAGCCTTTTATCAATGCATTTTATTCTAGAGCAAACTCACAACATATATTTTTAAATAATAAATAATAAACCTCATAAAACTATTCATTGTGATCTTTCAAAATAAATTATTGCTTTCTAAAAAATCTATATCTTTCTTTGATGTTTCTATCAATAAGAAAGATCCTATTACCTGCATTTATAATTCATCTAACATGATAAAAAAATCCCAGAACTTCTATACTTGGTATTAACTATTCTTAAATATCCTCTTTTAATCTTTAATAACAAGCACATAATAGGAAGCATAAAAAATATAGTATTTACGTGACTTTAAATTTTCTAACTTTACTACACCGATATTGGAATTGAACAAACCCCTAAGAGAAAATAAGTACTATTACGGAATTCAAAGTCTGAAACTACAGCAAACAACTGAGAAATCTGAAATTACAACAAAACAACAACACAACATTGGAATTAGAGTTGAATATAGTCCGCAGGTGGTGTCAAGGGGGTTAACAGCAAGTGAAGGGATTCTACAAAGTGGCAGCAAATTGGAATAGAAGGTTTGTTGTTCCCTGATAAATAACTACTAGTTCTAGAGCTAGATGGCAGTATGGTTGGGGAAAAATAACAGAATTGCTATTTTTTTCGGCGGCGACAGCAAGGGAAGAGAGGCGCGAGTCAAGGAGAGAGGGAAGGATAGAAGGGGATACACATCACCTCAAAAAGGAGATGCAATTAGAGCACTACTCAAAATCATTGGATACAACCCTAGAAAGGAAAACGAGAAGCCGAAAGGTAAAAAAACTAAAATAAATCAAAACTAAGCCATAAATATTAAAAAAACACTTAAACAGACCTACTACTATTAGTAGTGGGCCCCACTCAAATTGGGCGGAGCTTCGACATAGAAGGTCAAAGCTTTTGACTCCTCATAATATGGTGTCAAATCAAACACATTGAAGTTGACGAAGCTGTCGTAACCTCCAGGGATTAGAGGGTTTTCGACTCGTCTCTAGAAACACATGGATACAGATGTCAAATTCATCGTCCCACAAAACATTTGAAAAGATTTCCCAAATTGCAAGTAACCATCTCTATTTCAACCATATGTGAATACATTGTTGAACTGAATTAGAACATCATGTCAAACATACTCTGCAGAGTCCTCCAAAAGTAGTAGTTCGTTCCTATCTAAAGTGAAGACAAGCTGAACCTCCCCTAACGATAATAACCCTAGCAGTAAGTTGTCAATCAGAATATCCTGATCGCTCTCTATAGTGGTTGTCTTGTGTCTGATATTGGCTCATATGTCTCACTACCATCTAGCATCACAAAATTGATCTCACTGACGCATCTCTCATCGCAAAAGCACCTATAACCTTAGACTCCACATAAAATAGAAGAACTATATGTTTTTTTATCATCGATGAATAAATAATTGTTTTGAACCCATCATGTTGAGGCTTGTGATCAAACTACCACAATCTACCAAAAAGAATGTGGCAGGCGTCCATGGGTACAACATCACACTACACCTAGTCATGCAACTGATCCTCAATAGAAAAATTTACGAGGAATCTCCTGTCAGAGCTAACTTAATTCCCCTTCTTCCACCAATTCAAGGAATATAGATAGGAATTTCTCTAACTAATGAGACTCAACTTGTCCACCATCTATGTAGAGATCACATTCTAGCAACTACCTCCATCAATAATAAGGTTGCACACATTTCCCTTCGCAGTGCAAGAAGTATATAAAGATGTGGTGAAGCCACTACTATTATTTTGTAGCCTCAGTCTGAAGCACCTTTAGAACCACAAGTATTGCATCCTCATCAATTAGAAACTAGTACTTCTACACATCCTTACTATCTATCATGTTTCTAGTAACACAAACCACTTCTACTGCTCATTGATTAGTTAAAGAGAGAACTCTGGTAATAGGGTAACTGGAGGTGATGCGTCCAAACCCATGACATCTAAAACATTTCCTTGCAGGAATTATGTTGGGTATACTACTCCTCTCAGGCTTCTTCCCACTCTAATCAGCTCTATCATCTTTCTGGGTTGTTTATACACATTTCTCAAGTATGCCTCTATTGGCTCCTACTATGGACAATTGTCTGATTTACGATGATGTCCTAATATGCTTTTGTTCTTTCTTCACCCTCAAGGCCAATGTCTGAACATCAGTTAATGACCAGCAAAACTGCAACTAAATGGCATGTGTAATGGCCAACTTCGGACCTTCCCAAATACCTGGTTATGGTGTTTTCCTCTGGCTCTTTTAACTCAGATTTTAGCATGATTTGCTCAAACTCCGTTGTGAACCCCTCTACTGATAACTCCCCCTGATTTAAGTGATGTAGTCTCAAAAACATGTCTTAGTGGTACTGTAGGGGAAGATACCTCCTCTGCGTCTCCTTCATCTTTTGCTAAATAGTGAACTTGTTCATACCTTTTCTGTCTCTCTCTTAAGATTTCTCCATCACAAAAAGGCCCACTTGTTCAATTGTATGGTAGCAAGTTTCACCTGCCTATCAGCTGGCACATCCTTATACTCAATAATTCTCTCAACAATCTACAACCACTCAATGAAATCATCGAGATTCATTCTCCACTTGAAATTTGGTAAGTCTAGCTTCACACCCCATGTCTCTATGTCCTCCAACAATCATTCCATCATTCGGCCTTGTCTGATACTGAATCTCAAAATAATGTGGCATATCCTCCTTTTCACTGGAATCATCTCTATGGAAGGCATTCAGTTTTTTCTCCCTCTCTTTGAATCTTACTATCACGGTCGAGAGTGATCTCTTCATGGGTCCCTTCCTCAATTTTAGCAAATCTTTGTTGAAATCGACGGATTTTCCACTCCATCTCTTCCATAGTAAGTTCATGATCGGCTTCCGACACTTATCCCCCCAATGGCATGGCTAAGGTTTATGTTTAGTAGGTAAAAAAGGGTGTATGGGAATGATTTAAGGTGCAAAAAAAAAATTAAAGTTGCTGATTTTGAAAATCAACAATGAGAGATTAGAGTTAAATCAAGATTTAGCTATGGTTTGGTGGGCCTAGGTCACCCTAGGATGGAACTAAGGTTGAGCTAACTCTAATATCAAATGATGTCATAATTTAACAAACACCCAAGGAAAAAAAAGTATTATCACTGAATTCAAGATTTGAAACTACAACAAACAGTTGAAAAATCTAAAATTGCAATAAAACAACAACACAACACTTTAACTAGGGTTGGATCTATGGTGTAAGTGGTGTCGAGGGGATATTTAACAGCAGGAGAACGGATTCAACAAGGTGCCAACAAGTTGGTACAATAGATTTGTCGTTTTCTAGTAAATGACCAGCCATAATGATAAG